ATTAAGTAACATTACCTGGTAGAGTTCGACCATTTTAGAAGTAAAGCGCGCATTATGCGTTAGCTGCAGCTGTCTCCTAGTTACCGTATGAACGAGCCCTATGCCCCACTACGAGCTCTCTCCTCTATGCAATGGTTACATAGTCAGTCTTGTCAGAGGTGAAAAATAGCATGTAACAAGGTGATTAAATCATCCAATCAAAAGTGAATACAACTTCGCCGAATCCTACTAGGTTTGCGGACCAGCAAGCTTATTATTAGCTTTGGGAGCGTTGACGGTCTGTCAAGCCTAGTTCACCCAGTGCTAAATTCGATCAGCCACTCGGAACTATCGCCTTCGAGTGGCAAGTTCGTCCTTGTGAAAGCGCTCGCCAAACATGCGAAGCTTCGTGTCCCAATGGGAATATATTTTTGTGAAAAAAACTGCCGATCAAGTTAGGAGATGGATGACGGACGTCCACATCTCCGCTGAAGCCGAGTGCAACAAACAGTATGGACAGGCAAACAACGTGAAATGTAACGTACTTTTCGAACGCTTCAATTGCACCTTCAATCGCTTCATACCAATCTGGAATCCGTTCATCGATTGAATTGCACTGTGCGCACTGGCCTGATTATCGAAGCTCACAAAACCTATGAAAAAGAAATAGGTGGTAAAATCCGCCCCCCAGTACCAGGATGTCTTGAAAAAAGATGTGATATATAAGCGAATAAAAACGACAAAGGCCTAAAGGGGTTATCCGTTCGAGTTAGGGGGAGGGGTGAAATGTGTCTTTGTGGTTGTAATCACGTTAAGGAGAAGGCGTACGTCTCGAAATCAGCGTCAAGATGACTTACCAAAGCATTTGCTCTGATTAGTAGCACGGTCGACATAAACTTTTGCGCTGATAACAGTCCCGAACGGCATGAACATTTGTGCCAGGTCTTGGTCTCCAAACTCTTGTGGGAGATGGTAGATGAACAAATTGCATCCTTCGGGACCTGTAAATTAAAATGAAACAGAAAGTTATCGGGTGGATCGTGAAATGGTTGTTTCTAGATTTCTCCAAGGAAGCATGTAAATCCGAAGTCTTGGAACAGATCACGGATAGTAAGCAAAGTCTTCGCTTGCAAGCGGTGCAGAAACATGCTGGTGGCAACTAATTTCCTGCAATTACCTGTAATTATGAGCTCCCGAGATCCCTCCTTCTGTTGTACCGGCATGGTCATCGCCTGAGAGAGACTCTGGAGTTGACCGAAGGCAGCCGGGTTACCGAGAGCTGATAAAGGAAAGATTGGGGGGAGGGGAGATTGAGATGTCGTCAGGGCTAGTCTTAAAACTATATCTAAGCGCGTATTATTGAGGTGTGGAGAGCGTCGTGGGTGTTCATTTTCCCCTCCCATTAAGGTGAGAACTCGGTTTGACAGTTCGCGACTGAGAGTTAGGTGAAAAGAGTTGTTAACACGTCACTAAGGTGACCAAGGGTAGCAATTTTATTTGTGTTGCGTCCGGGCCAAAGGTCACCCTTGAAGTGCCTTTCAAAAGTGAAAAGTCATCAACAGAATCCACTAGGGTGTGAAAGCAAACTGATACTGACGCGACGGTGGGCAGTTGGTTCGTGCTCGTCGAGGTCTAATAACTCCAAGCAGCAGGCGGGTCAGACCCGAGTCAGCAATAGCCCACCCATATAGCTCCGGCGCGACATCT